GGCCCCACGCGCCTGGCCCAAGCCTGGCCCTTTCCCGGGCAGCGACGCCCGGGAGCGCTGAGGGAACGCTTCCGGCCCTGGCCGTGCCGCCGGCTCGGAGGGGGGAGGGGGGGGGGGGGCACGAGGCAAGAAGGTGTGGAAGGGCCAGAAGCCAATCTTTCGCACATCCCCTTTCCCCAAACCACCTGTGGATACGCGGATTCCAAAATCGGGTCTCGCCTCTCAAGGGCGGTTCTACAGCTGCAGCGCTGCCGTCTGACGGGCTGGGCTGGGCTTTTCTCCGTGGTTTTAAAGGAGAAACACCTCTCTGCCCTGTATGTGCCCAGAGGAGCTGTGGATGCTCCATCCCTGGGAGTGTCCAAGGCCAGGCTGGATGAGGCTTGGAGCAACCTGGGCTATGGAAGGTGTCCCTGCCCATGGCAGGGGGGGTGGAACTGGATGATCTTTAAGGTCCCTTCCAACCCAAGCCATTCCATGGACTTTGAGGGCGGCAGTCTGACCCTATCTCTTGCTTATCCTGAAAAAGCCAGGAAAGCTCAAGTCTCTTCCTGTCTTGCGTAGCGCAGGTTGCCACCAGAGCTGTAAGATCAGCCCTTGCACAGCGACTGGGAAACTTTAAAAGCCTGAGCAGGGCAGGACCAGGCGTTAACTGGACCGTAATGAGCTTAAGATGTTGGTGCCTGTCAGTTAATCAGATTACTTGTGGTTCTTCCTGTTTTGTTAATGTCACTAATGTGGGCGTCTTCCTCGCTGCAAAGTCCTTTCGTTCCTTTGCTCACAGGTACAGGCCAGCGATTCTCAGCCTTTAAAGAGTGGCACGTGCTCTGGCGTGTTTGACACAGTTCTCTTGAGAACTGTCACTGAGAAATGTGACCGGTCCTGGTTTTAAGGGGCTGAGGGGAACAGCGGGCCGAGAAAGAGAAGGGAGGTAGCTAGGTAATTTTCTGCTGCGTTCGGTCTGTAACGAGACATTTCAGTACAGCATTTGTGGCTCTCGGATGTCTTGACTGACACCCTCGCCCTGATGGTCACAACGTGCCGAGACGCACCGACAGGCATAACGTGAACTGAACTGTCGCTGCTTCTGATTCTTTCAGGTTTGTCATCAAAGGAAGCCTGGCTGGGGCTGCCGTGTACCTGGCGTACGATCAGGGGCTGCTGGGCAGTGGCACACAAGGTGCTGAAGCCCTCAAAAAAGCTCAAGCGGCTCTGCCTCCAGCTATCCAGGAGCTGACAAGTTACCTAGGCTGGGAGGTAAGGAGTGAGCAGATGCGCGCGGACAGCAAGCCAAACGCATCCTCTGAACGAGGAGGAGAAAATAACGGGGTGATATTCAGGTTCCAGTGATGCTGGCAGGAGTTTTGCTGTTGAAACTGGTTTCACGATGAGAATATTTTGAAGAGGATTGAAATGGGAGGGTGAAGTTTGAAATTTAGGGGAGAGACGTTGCTCACAGATGTTATCTCAAAGGAGCAGGGTCTATAGCCTATGCAGGGTGAAGGAGGGGATTGCAGGTGTGCTCTGGGAGATATTTCACTGCGTCGTGGTGCCGTGGTTTAACCCCAGCCAGCAGCTAAGTACCACACAGCTGCTCGCCCAGGTTTTGGCAGAGCTCAGGACAGGCAGGCTACAGACAGATTTACTCCTGACTGTGCCTTCTGAAGGCTCCTACATGATTTTAAAAAATTAATGAAAAGATTCGGTTTCTCAAGCTGCTAACAGTTTGTCAAGTTGAATTTAAATTGCCTGAAGAGGCCCTTTTCTGAGTAATCATTAGGTTTTTAATATCCTCAGAGCAGGGGAAGCCTTTGCTGAACATCTGAAAGGCGTTTTTCATATTACTGTTCTCAACTAACAAGGAGACAGCTGTGGAGATGATTTCTCAGGAGCACCCAAGTGATCAGTACTACCTTCTGGCCCTACTGTATGCTGGGGGAAAGAGCAAAGTCCAGACTTTAAGTTTTGTGTCTGATCCCTTTGGAGACTTTGGGAGAGCAGGCACCTAAGCATCCTTGAGATCTGAGGTCAAGAGGCTTCTCCAAGGTGATGCGAATCTGGTTGTAATTGAAACCCTTTGAGTGCTGATACTTTGTTTCTCTTTCTCTTTCTAGCTTCCACCCACTCCAAAATTTGACTTTTCCCCCTCCGAGTCCTGGAATAAAGGTAAAATAACTTCTTACTCAACGGGGAAAGGAGCAAGGGGCCAAGAGTGATGTAGTTCATACCACTCGTGTTTCAGTACTGCCCTCCTAAATTGATGGAGGAGGCGACAGATGCTACAGTCTGGTGGAAGCGGTATTGGGACTGGGACTAAGGAAACATATTCTGCTTTAGGTTTTACCACTGCACAGTGAGCCTGGACTTAATTTTACGTTATTCCGACTGTGAAACGAGTCAGCCTTTCCTAAGCAGAGGAGCTGGTGTTCCTTTTACCTGCAAAGCTTGCTACCCACCAGGCGAGGCACGCCAACGCTGGCCTAGTATCTCAGATCGAATGTTTCAGTGAGTGGGGAGGCCTGTGACCCCCCCAGTAAATAGAGTTGATGCACCAATAATAGTGATCAGGGAAACTACAGCATAAAAGTAAAGGGTGACTTAAGAAAGGTGAACCTCTAGAGTGTATAAACTCCTCAGGTGCCGTAGGGCTGAAAGCAGGCTTTGACTTTTCAGGAGGGATGAGTATTCCCATTACTGCTAGAATTTTAGAGATCGTTTGAAGGCAAAAGCAGGTTATAAATACCCAGGGAGTTCAGTTTTTATGGTGCAGCAGGAAGTCTTCACATAACTGTGGGGAAACACAGTCCACAAATACTGTGACATGTCCCCTATCACCCGTGGAGTGTGTGGCAAGGCCAGAAATGAAATGGAACCTAGCTCAGTTCTTGTTTCAGTCGTACCCCCTAGACTGATCCCAAGGTTGGAATTTCTCTGTGCTGCTGAGACAGTAAGGCTGTACTGGATCGTTCAGGCCTCAGTGTTTGAAGGCTTCTGAGGCAGAGCCAGAATTTCTCTCCGTGTTTAAAGAGATCCACAATGCTAGAATAACATTAGGAAACGTGTCTTGAATGACGCTCTTCCTGGGCT